TTCCTAATAATCCTTTAGGTGAGTGTAAATCACAGTCCACTGGATAGAAAAAAAAATCTACAAAGATAAAAAGAACATATCATTGTGAGAGTGTTTTTCATTTTCCCTCAACAAATCTCAGGTCTTACCTTATTAAATGTATAACATTTTACAGATATCTAAAATGATTATTATAATTGATGCAGGTTCTCTACATGGTTCATGTAGTATTGGCTTCTGGCTGTATAAATATCGAGCGCATTCGTATGTTGGCCAACAACGGACAGCTTTGTGTTTGTGTTGCATAGTGCTAATGCTAATCGACAGGCCCTGTTTTGTAGCCAAGTGCACACAGCCACAAACGTTCTTAAAGTTAACCCAGGTTTCCCAGTATGATCTGTTTCTCTTCCTAGATGCTGACAGGGGTGTTTTCTCTAAAGGCATCATGGTGACTGTCAGCACTTCTCTGGTGTCTCTGCTCGTCTCCAGCTCAGTATTTCTTCATCTTGTCTTGTAGCATTGTGCCTTTTTCCATAAGTGTTATTTATGCTGCTCTGGGTTTGTTTCCTGCTTGTGTCTCATGTGATACCTGTAGCAGTGCTCTGTATGCAACATGGTTACATCAATCCCACCTGTACTACTTATCAACACGAGTGAGATGCTTTATGCTATTATTATTACTATGTATCAAGTCCAATATGTCTGTGATAAACACCCAATATGTGTCAAAATAACCAACAAATCTTAACCATCTGAAACGTTTTTGTAAACACATTAACTCATTTAAATTTTATTTTGTGCACAATGGGCTTCTGATTCCACACTGACTGGATGGATACACAATGCAATACCCTTAATTACATCTGTAATATTATTTGATGATTTGCTGAAATGTAAGCATCCCAGAGCACAGACCTTCACATCCCACCGTGTTCCTGCCTGAAACTCACATCCATGTGTAAGTTTGAACATATGTATATTATAAAGATGTATAAATATATATATACACATACACACACACACACACACACATATATATCAATTAACTATGAGGCACACTTTTATTTATGGAAATAATTTAAATGAGTGCTGGATAGCTGGATATAAATCCAAAATTATATTTTTTCTGCTCTACGTTTACTAATACTAAAAGAAATATACTGTTCAGCATAATTTTTCCAAAATTTCCAATGACCTCAGAGTTTTGTGTCGAGTTGTGGACTTTTTTCTTGTGTAAAACAAAGACATGATATCATTAGAAAAAGCTTTTCATAATATTGGCTTTTCTCAGAAAGTTAACATTGCAATAGAGAAATTATAATACTGAACTTTTAGGAATGTTCTTTTCATATCT